GGGGGGGGGGGAGGAGGGAATCATATGGCTCCAATTATAGAGTAAGCAAGAAAGAGAGAGAGAAATTGAAAATCTATCTGAGGTGTGATCGGTGGCATAGCAAAATACAGGACGGCGGTGTGTTCCAAAAGCTACATGTCGCAGGTCTCTCCGGGAGCGGTTGGATGCGTTCCAAGAGAGTCTTAGGTATAGAGAGAGAGAGAGAGAGAGAGAGAGAGGCAAGAAGGGTAGAGAAAGGAAAGAAGCAAGAAGAGGAAAAGAGGGAGAAGTAAGCGAGCAGACAAGCAAGCAAGCAGGCAAGCTAGCAGGCGAACAGGCAACCCAGGAGCCAAGCAGGCAGCTCGAGAGCATTGGAGAATTACAAGAGGGTTTCTGTGTGGCGCACAGCATACGGACTAAGATGTATTTTTACTCCGGACATCACGGCGCCGGACAACTCGTAAATAGACACTCTCGCACCGAGGCTCTCTTTCGCTTGCTTGCTCTTCTCTCCCGTCATCGTCGTCGTCGTCGTCGTCGTCCTCGTCCTCGTCGTCGTCGTCGTCTTGGTCCGTCTTCGCGCTCGTCATACGATTCTCGTTGCATCCTTTCAGTACCCTCTCCCTAGCTTCCTAACCATCTGTCTCAAGAAACTAACAATAAGACTATGGATCGATCCTTTATCCGAAAAGGCCGTCTAATCGTAAGTATCATCACGACTGTTTCACGAGAAGGGAAAACTACTCGCCAAAGTAATGCTCTTAAGTATTCCTCCTCGTCGCAGCAGGTGGGGCGGGGGGGTTGGGGGTGGGGGAGGGGTGTACTCGCTTCGAAAATTGAAGCTACCTCTTTGTTTCGGAGTTGTAAGAGTACGAAACGTCAATAACGCTTAGAATCGAAACGCTCGGCGCTCGAGACAGTGGTAGAAAGCAAAGGCCTCTTTGAATGAACGGAACGTACGAGGAGAGTTCAGACGCGGCACGGCGGTGTACCAATTGAGGATCTTCGCTTCGCGAGTATATAAATTGTAGCCGAATGGAGCAGCGCCGGCATCCAGCAAAAATACAGATATAAAACGTGTCGTCCACGTGAAAACAAAATCTACAAATATCGCAGAGCTGTTAGCACAAGTGAACACAGAAGCGTAATTACATATAGAAATATAATGTAATATAGCTTTTGTCTAATTGATGTGTTGTCATAAGCTTGGACATCGTACATCGAAAAGTCGAGAGAAACAACGACGAAGGGATACAGGGAAACAGTAAGTTGGTCTCGATAAGTTGGAACGGTTAATGGCGATGCGGCGAAGGAAACGGCGAGAGCGAATCTCGGCTGCTCGGAGGACGTTCGATCCGCCTTGAACTTTCGATACATTCGTGGTATATTCCCGGAGATATTTGTCCTCCTATCTGGCATTCGCGTTCGCGCAACGCGAGAGCCTCTCTCGTCCACAGGCCTACGCAGGTGTGTCGGGGTCTTTAGCCTGGCCGGATTAGCCGAGTAAAAAACCTGCGCGATCCTCGCGCGGACCGAACCGTCTGTCTCGAGCGTTATAAATCGGCCGTTTGCGGAAAAGAGCGCGACCTACTCCCCGTTCCGTGGAAAACACCGCGATTGCTATATAACATGCGCATAATATGACCGATGGAACTGCAACGCGTGCACGCACACACACGAGCGCACGAGCACATTGTAATACAAATAGATCGAACGTGACGCGCGCGTAAAATAAAGTCTGCCCGTCGTGTCGTTTATCTCGCGTTTTTTAGTCCTCCTCGCGTCACGAATGTTATTTATCGTTCTGTTACCTTTCGCTTATCGAGAGGAACGTCTTTCGAGAGACAGAGAGGCAGAGGCACGCCAAATGAGAAACGGATTATTCTCATTCGACACGCCGCGGAAATGTGGTCGTTTCACGAGCAATCAGCACATACGTGTAGTTGCCACTTGAATTTCTCGAATCGTTCTCTCTCTCGTGTTTCTTTTCGCTGTTTTTTTTTTCTTTTTCTT